CAGGCCCCTTGGCCCCTGCCCGCCGCCCTTCCCCCTCCCTGTGACTCCTGTGCGACGATCGGCGCTGGTTTTTCACCCCCGGCCCTGCTCCGCACCACCAGGGCGCAAGAGCAGATCCCGCCCCCAAAGCCAGTCTGGTTCTTCGTGGTCCTCCCTCCTTTGAAAACATGGATGTCCCCCTGACTGGTCCTACCCGACCTCCCGCCGTGCGCCGACTTGACATCTTTACTTAATACGGGGGTGGTTGGGCACTTCTGGGCTAATCCGCATACCCCTCCCTTGTTTTCTAATTGTGTAATATTCTTAGGCTGTGTCGTGCAAAGCTGAACTTCTACCACTTACTTTGCATTTTCTCAAGGGCACTTGGTTTCCTGAAAGTAGTTTTGTTGAATCGGTGATGCTTTGGTCTGCGGACTGACACAACTTGTTAGTTTGATAATCTAATACTAAGGGGATGCTGCTCCAATCAAGCTAATCCCCTTTAAACAGTGTCTGTAGATGCTCTTCCTGTATTTTAGGTGATGTAACTTCTTAGTCATCGCCACTTGGAGGAAACTTTACAATATTGTGCCACAGAATCTGGAATCAAACAGTTGGGTTCTTTTTTTTATATATAAAATATTTAGCTGGGTGTGATGGCACATGCCTTAATGGAGGCTGAAGCAGGAGGACTGCCCTAAGTTCATTGCCAGCCTCAGCTACATAGTGAGTTCAAGGCATGACAAAATGAGACCCTGTTTCAACCCCCCCAATTTAAAATAGGCACAAAAGTAGAGAGTATTACAACCATTGTGCATATATGTGTCACTTAAATTCAGATATTGTACAGCTTTCAATACTTTTGTTTTGACCTGCCCCCTCCCCAAGTTTCTAAAGCAAACCCTAGGAATTGTCATTCTGCCACTATATACTTCTGGGATGTATTTCTAACAGTTTCTTACTCCTTTAGGTCCAATTATTTTTTCAGTGTTAGTAAAGCTACTAGTGGCTCAGCATGGGAAAAGTACTATCAAAGTGGAAGAAACATTTATCAATTCTTTATTTGCATAATACTGATCTAGGGTTTGCAACTATGTTTTTTTCCACTCCCTCCCCTTGTCTTAGCTCCCTAAGGAAAATACTAACTTTGCTTCTTTCAGTTTTGTGAAGAGTTTAAAGAAAAGTGCCCTATCTGTGTCCACTGTGGCTTGAGGCTGGCTGAGAAAACACAGATTGCCATCGTCAGACACTTTGGTCTTCAGATATTGGAACATGTTGTCAAGTAAGGAACTCTTGAATATGACCACTGCAGGCTGTGAGAACTCAAATCATTCTTACATAACTTCCACGTTCATTTTTGTCCTCATTCATGATTTTGAACCTTTGTGTGCATTCAACAAAGCTGATAGCTGCTACTCTGTTTGTCCAGTTTTTTGAGCTCCTAGTATATGCTAAGCAGGCCTCATAGGCTTTTTAGAGGAATTTGGTGTGTGGGTAAACAAATCTCTGATTAGGCACTATGACTATCTTTTTCTTTTTGAATGTGGAACTTCCCTGAATGGCGTATGGAAAGCAGGATTATGTAAGAATAACTGAGACCTCCTAACTTGAGTCTTTTAACCTCAACATGTTTCAGAAGAGTGAGATTTTAATATTTAGCTAAAGTTTTTCTAGAATTTTACTATAACTATGCACCAGCACAGGAAGAGAGTAATATCAAGATTTATATTTTCTACTGAGTGTGGAGGAACTATAGTCCCAGTTCTCTGGGAGGCTGAAGCAGGGGATTTTCAAGGTTTGTGCCTAGCCTGGGCAACTCAGTGATTTAATGAGACCTTGTGTCAAATTTATTTTGTTTTGCTTTTGTTTTGTTTTGTTTTGTTTTGTTTTTTTAGACAGGGTCTCACTATGTAGTTGAGACTGACCTGTAACTCACTATATAGCCCAGGCTGGTCTCGAACTCACAGCGATCCTCCTGCCTCCGCCTCCCGAGTGCTGGGATTACAGGCGTGCGCCACCATGCCTGGCTTGTGTCAAATTTAAAAAAGGATAAGGATAAGCTAAGTGTAAAGGCTATAGGTTCAAACCCCAGTTTCCCTTACCCTCTCACTCCATCAAAAAATTTAGATTTTCTGAAAAAGCAAGTACAGTACTGGAGTCGTCCTAGATGTACATTTACTTTTGGCCTATTAGTAAGATTTTGAGAGAAAAGCTGATTTGTGGCCTAAACCTTTTATGGATTCTAATTAGTAGGTCACAGCACATGTAAAACATTTCCCAAGCATTTTTCTATCCATTCTCCAAAGGGTACAAAATAAAAAATAGAATTTCATAATGAAATCACCAGTATAATCAAATGCAAGTATCAAAGCTATTCTGTTGTGAAGAAAAGGCATCTGACATGGTTCTGTTGCTTTTTGCATTTGGGTGGCAGGTTCCGGTGGAATAGCATGTCTCGCCTGGAGAAGGTCTTCCTGAAGAACAATGTCATGGAGCTGATTGCAAATGTAAGGACAGGGTGGTTGGGGACTTAGGTTTCCTTGTGCTCTTGGTGTAAAGGTTCACTAGGAGTGATAGGCCAGGCAGCATAATGATTGCTGTTGCCTTCAAGGAAAAAAAGAACTATTTCAAGAAATTGTAATTCATTGTATTCCTCTGGCTAGATTTAAACAGGTACCCTTGTGGTTTGGCTTCTGTTTTTAAAGTTATACAGGGCAGAGGAGATTAAACATTTTCAGTAAGTGAATGAAGACGATTCTTAGGTCTGAATTAGATTGAAACACTGCCCACATTGTTACCTACTCTCCAGACTGTGACACTAGTAATAAAAAACCATGCAGAATGAATTTGTTTTTTAAAGTGTTTTAATGTGACATTAAGCATGTTTTAAATTGTCTTTTTCTTTCTTTTTTTAACAAAGGGCACAAAACTTGGAATTCCTACCCCTTTTGTGCCATTCGTAGGAAAAATTGTTCCCTTAAAAATTATAAATTAATTTAACCAACTAGGACTTTTATTTTGCTAGTTCTTTTTTTTTTTTCCTTAGTACCAGGGATTGAACTCAGGACCTCGCACTTGTCAGGCAAGCACAGCACCATTGAGCTACATCCCCAGCCTTATTTTGTTAGTTCTGAGGAGACTGTGATTCATTAGTCTTGATGTTGCAATTCATAAGAGACACTTTTTTTTTTTTTTTTTGAGATAGGGTCTCACATGTAGTTGAGACTGACCTGGAACTCACTATGTAGCCCAGGCTGGTCTTGAACTCACAGCAGTCCTGCCTCAGCCTCCCAAGTGCTGGGATTACAAGAGACACTTTTTTTTTTAATGTTCTGTCATACTAGAATTATTAATAAAACAGTTTTCTCCCATACTCTTCCATTTTGTCAGCCTCTCGTTGTATAGTTAATTGTTTCTATAGTCTTCCACCTTGGCCCTCTTTAAAAAAATAAAGCAAACTGATCATGGTGCCGCAAGCCTGTAATCCCAGCTCTCTGGGAAGCTGAGGCAGGAGGATCCCAAGTTTTAGCACAACCTGGGCAATTTAGCTAGACTCTGTCTAAATAAAGAGCTGGGAGGACTGGGGATTTAGCTCAGTGGCACCACACCTGCATTGCAAGTGCAAGCCCTGAGTTCGCTCCCCAGTACCAAAAAAATAAAATAAAATGTAGTTCAGTGTGAAAGCCCTTAAATTTCCAGTACTACAAGAAACAAAATATAAAAACATGAAGCAATATGAGAGTGTCACTGGTCTGTAAAGAGCAGTGATGTTTTCCTAGCTCTGTGTGAGCTGTTTCATTAGCTGATGCAATCCTCATTTAAGCTTAAGTGCGAAGAATGATTGGTCTGTGGGCAGGACAGGTAACTCAGACAGGGAGAACAAGTTTGCTGCTTTTAGTTGTTGTTTTGGTAACAGGGATTGAACTTGGGACCTTGCGCTTGTGAGGCAGGCGGTGGCACCACTGAGCTAAATCCCTGACTGCTGCTTTTAGTTTTAAACAGGCTTGCCAGTGAGTTTTGTACACTATAACCCAGAATTTATGCTTGGAATTCAGTCCTGCAGACACCTTCACATCCCTGTTCTTTTTCAGGGAACAATGAACATTTTGGAAGAGGAGAACCACATTAAAGATGGCCTGTCACGAATCGTGGTAGAGATGATCAAACGAGAGTGGCCGCAGCATTGGCGCGACATGCTGGCAGAGCTGGACACACTGTCCAGGCAAGGGGTACGGAGGGCTTGTTCTTGGGCAGACCCCAGGTTTACTGCCTGGTGGTGTTGGCTGCTGCTCTGTCAGCAGAACATGGCTTTGGATGTTCCTGTGATAAACAAAGTGTTCTGTTGTACAGGAAACACAGACAGAACTGGTGATGTTCATCCTTTTGCGCCTGGCGGAAGATGTAGTGACCTTTCAGACTCTTCCCCCTCAAAGAAGAAGGGATATTCAGCAAACCTTAACCCAGAACATGGAGAGTATCTTCAGTTTCCTACTCAACACACTGCAGGAAAATGTGAACAAATACCAACAGATGGTAAGGGATTTCCCCACCCGACAAGAGTCCTGTTTTCTACTATACATGTGTGGTTTTTAGTTAAAATGCTCTTTCAGCAAGTGAGTAAGGTATCTAGTTCGGGAAAAAGTCATTCTATTTACTTTATTTTGTTGTATTTTAGCAATACTGGGGATTGAGCCTAGAGAACTCTGAGCTTTATCCCCAGCCCTTATTTTGAGGTAGGAACTTGCTAAGTTATCCAGACTGGCGTCAAACTTGATATTCTCCTGCTGTAGCCTCCCAAGTAACTAGGATTACAGGTGTACACTATGTTGTCCAGCTAGGAAGAGCCATTTTATAAGCAAAAAACTGGGAAATGACTAGAAAAAGTAGAACAGATATTTTTTCTCAGGAATTCAATTCAGTGATTTTCCTTGTCTATTAAAAAAATTCTTAAAATAGCATAAAAGTGAAGGTGAGTACTTCATATTTGAAAACCTAGATTTTTCCTAGTTCAGGATATGGGGTCCTGTTTGGTCCTGCTCCCTTCTGCAGTAGATGGCTGCCATGTTTGTCTTTATTGCATGATCCCTAGTATTTTATTTTTCTTGAGTACATATGCCTTCTTCAAGTCAAGTTAGCGGGACATTATCTTTCTGACCATTATCATTTTTAGGAGATAACCTTTCAAAAGAGGTAGTTTTCTTTTTCTTTTTCTTTTTCTTTTATTTATTTATTTTTTTTTTGAGACAGAGTCTCACTATGTAGTTGAGACTGACCTGGAACTCACTATGTAGCCCATGCTGGTTTTGAACTCACAGTGATCCTCCTGCCTCAGCCTCCTGAGTGCTGGGATTACAGGCATGCGCCACCATGCCCAGCCCAAAAGAGATAGTTTAAAGTTAATCTAATACAGTGTTCTCAGTGGGGGTGATTTGGCCACCCTAAGGAGTCAGATTTTGCTTATTACAACTGAGGGGATTGCTGCTGGCATCCAGCAGAGAGGACAGGTATGCTGCTAAATACCCAACAGTCAGGTAGTCCAGCAGTTCAGGGCCATCTAACTGGAAATGTCAACAATGCTGAAGCTAAAATCTCTTATCTAGAACTCTTGTAGGCACTTATTTCACAAAGTAAAAAGAACTATAGTTGCCCCTGGCAACTTTATTGGGTTTGGTTTTAGAGAAATTTTAGGCACATTAATGCAAATGATGAGGTGGGGAGGAACTCAAAGTGAATATCTAATATGTGCTGTAAATTTGCTTGTACTTTCTATATGTTATCTAATCCTCAAAACCATCCTAAATTTGGAAGATACTGTCTCTAAAGGTTCAGAGTGTATTGATGCTGAAAATAAATTAGTGAAAAATCCTCTCTAATAATAGTTGCAGTGGAATTCACACCCATTCTTTTTACTAAAATGAATTCTTTTTTTGTTTAGTTTTGTTTTTTGAGACAGGGTCTCACTGTGTAGTTGAGATTGACCTGGAACTCACTATGTAGCCCAGGCTGGTCTCAAACTCACAGTGATCCTCCTGCCTCAGCCTCCCAAGTGCTGGGATTACAGGCGTGTACCACCACGCCCGGTTTGAAATGAATTCTTTTCCTAAGTACCTTTCCAAGATTCCTTGAAGAGAAATATAGAGAAAATATTTGCAAATATTTCATAAAATTGATGTGTATTTATAGTCAAAGAGATAGCAGTAGGAACTCAGCATAGCAATGCATACCTGTAATCTCAGCTAGTCAAGAGGCTGAGGCAGGATAATTGCAAATTGAAGGCCAGCTAGAACAACCTAACAAGATCATATCCCAAAAAGGGATGTAGTTCATTGCTATTGTCCTTGCCTAGACTGTTCCAGGAAGGTGCTGAGTTCAACTCTGCAAGACCAAAAAAAAAAAGAAAAGAAAAAAGAAAAAGAGCAAAAGGAAGTAACAATAGGTTAGTGTTGGTGGCTTTCAGTAGATATTTTATTAGAGAAGAATTCTTTTGATTGAAAAGGATAGCATCCCACAGGAAAGAAGGCATTTCCTCTCTGCAGGACAGCAACATTTGTGTGAGATAAGCTAAGAAATCTCCCAAGCTATAAACCTGATATATTTGTAGAATACTGAAGGAACTTTCTTGGGAAAGTTAGGACATAATACAGTTTCACTCGAGAGCCATGAATTTATTTTCATTTAGGGAAGAAAAGCATTACGACAGTGTAGTGTTTAAAAAAAAAATCTTCTCTTCACAGCTACAGTAGTTAGTGAAGTGCATTGGTTCTCCAGTACTTTCCAGTTATGAATAGTTGGACATTGATGGAGCAGAGCAGGGCTGCTGGCCAGGGTTCTGGCAGGAGTTGGGAATCTATCCTTTCTCACCTTCCCATGCCTTGGATTTGGTCTTTGCCATCTCCTAAGTCAGTGCACACAGGGGCCAGCTTTTGTGCCTTGAACTTGCCTGCTCATTCCTACACCTTCTCTCCCTCCACCTTTTTCCTTCCCACTTGAGGAGTGGACTGAACAGGAAACAAAAGGGTAAAAAGGCTGTCTCCCCTGTCCTGTCACTCGCCCCAAGGATTGTGGATGGTGTGTTGGAGTGGAGGGTAAAGTCTAGGCTTGGGCACTGTGGTGTGAATCTTTTATAATCCCAATGGTGGTAACTGTGAGGTACTTCAGAAGTTGTTATTCCTGCATGTGTCACTTGTCCTTAATCATCATAAGGAGTTACTAATTCTATTTTTAGTAGTTCCTTAGGAAATACTAATTTTGTATGCTTATGAATTATAATCACATTTTTATATTTGAAATATAAGGATAAAAATCAACTCTTCGTATATATGTGTCCTGAACAGCCATGATTTTGATTGATATATTAGCATCTAGTATTTTGTGTACTTGACTTTCCTGTAGACATACACACATGGACATAAATTGAATTCATTTATTTCTGTTTCTTGTTTTAACCTGTTGTTAGGGGAATATCAGTTAATAACAGTTAGTAAAGACATTCTTTTCCAAGGTTAAAAGTTGGACCTGTATCTAACAATCATTACTTAAGGGCATTAAAAGTTGCTATGTGGCGGGGGGGTTGCTGTGTAGCCTTTTGCTTATCAAAAGCATCTGATTCTTACACTGTTCTTTCAGAAAACAGATACTTCTCAGGAGTCAAAGGTAAGAGCGCACCTCTTCATGGTGTTGGAGACTTCTTTAGGGTGTCTAGGCATGGGGATACATACGCTTACTAACCTCAGATTTGGACTTTTTTGATCATTGATCATTGAGGAGGGTAAATTTTTAATATTTGGGATTTCTTGAGAAAAGTTAGAATGGCCACCACATATGTCACCATAGTTTTATTGATGAATTCTGAAGAATGCCATTAGTTATGTATCAAAAGAAAACTTGAATCTCCTACCAGTAAACATTACGTGAATACCTACCTTAACAACTTGCTTTCTTTTAGAATTAGAAAATATAAACGCAGGTATACCCACAGTATTCTTAGACAGGTGTTAGGACTTCATGGTTGTGGGTGATTTCGCACAGGCTCAGGCCAGCTGTCGGGTTGGAGTTGCAGCATTGAACACACTTGCTGGCTACATTGACTGGGTGTCCATGAGTCACATCACGGCTGAGAACTGCAAGCTGCTGGAGATGCTGTGCCTGCTTCTGAACGAGCAGGAGCTGCAGTTGGGAGCAGCCGAGTGTCTTCTCATTGCTGTCAGTAGAAAAGTAAGTTGCACTTAAACTGACTTCTACTCTTAAGTGTCTGATAGGGAACATGTGTTCAGTCACCTGTTGTGGCAGAAAGAAATTTAGAGATTTGGCGTTTTATTCCTTGCAGCTGGCTTCCTGGCTCTCCTTGTCCCTTAGGACAAGTTTCAGTATTCCAGGGACCTATTGCCAGAACATACATGTATTTGTCAGGCCACTTGGTAGTTGAAACAACCATGATTCTTTTGATTTTTCACTTAAATAAGAATAATTTTAACGTTTCTAGTTCACTTACAGTTATATCAGAGAATCACATATGGTGGTTGCACTGGCTTTGTGTTTGTCTTGAGTAACAGGACTCTTGACTCTTCTCCATAGAAGTATAATCTACAGGATGTCTCTTACTTTGCTTTTGTGTCGGCGTTCTTTCACAGCACATTTTAAAAAAACAAGTCTTGTGCCAAGGAAATAGCTCAGTGGTTCGACTGCCTCGCAAGTGCAAAATATGTATCTTACCCAGATTTGGCTTAAAGAGTTGTCATTTTTCTAGTGTTGTCTAAGTTCTTGGGAAGGTATATGAAAAGCCAGTACATTTGAGTATATCAGTATAGAAGACACCAGTAACTCAAGGTTTTTAGTAATGTAGTATGTGTGACTGTTTTTCTATAATTGGGTTTAGGGCAAGTTGGAAGACCGGAAGCCCTTGATGGTTTTATTTGGAGATGTTGCCATGCATTATATACTCTCTGCTGCCCAGTGAGTATCTTTACCTTTCAGTATGTTGTGGGTTATCCCAAAAAATGTAATTTTCAGTGTGTGTGTGAACATACCTGTGCATGCATGCAGGGGATTAAATCCAGAGCCTTGTGCATGCTAAACGCACTGTCAACATCCCAGCCCTACAATGTTTTCTAACCTCGTCTTTTTGATATTTCATTTGGATATGTCTTAAGTTTCCGCAGCCTAGCACTGTTTTGATAATCTTATTCTTGGTCCTAGAGACACGTGAAAAGCTGTGAAACACATGAAGTACTTAAAAATCTCTTACTGTTTGCTCTAATGTGGCATTTCTTTAAAATAGTTTTCTTGGGGCTGGGGATTTAGCTCAGTGGTTCCGGAGCCTGACTTGAAAGCACAAGGACCTGAGTTCGATCCCCAGTACCAAAAATTAATTAATTAATTAATTAATTTTTAAAAATAGCTTTCTTTCCTGAAGAGACAGCCCTTCTGTGTGGAAGGGATCGTGTTGATTCAATGAATAGATCATCCTTGCAGTAGTTATTGTAGTTACTGCCTCTAGGATCCATTTCTTATTTGTGCAAAGACACATGAACACACAGGTGTTGCATCGCCGTTTCTGCAGTGGGTATGCGTCCAGCACCCATGGATACATAGCAACGCCCTGCCTTTCAGCTTCCCCAGGGCCTGGGGAAGTTACTCTGAGGCCCTCCTTTCTCCATTCCCTATGCTGGCTACAGGGTCAGTGGTGTAGCTGCTGTTTGTACAAGTTGCTGTGTATTGTGGTTAGTGTGATGAGTCCTGTATCATTTCAGGCCAGGTATTCCCATCAAATCAGTTCATTTCTTGTTTTGTTTTAACAGGTTTTTGGATTCTCTACTGATTAATAGATCCAAACTAAATGATTTGGACAAGTGAGACACAAAGTTAGGTCGTTACCTTGGTCCTCTTCGTTTTACCAGTGGTGTAAGGAATTGATGCCTGCTCTCCAGGGCTCTGTTCCTATCCTCTGTGGGCATCAACCCTTGCTTTTTTGTGTAGCTGCTGTGTTGTTTTATGCAATCCTCAGAGCTACGTCACCATCCCAGAATACTGAGCACTATCAAGTTGTTAGCAAAGGAAGAGATCACCCTGAACCATATTTTGCATCAATCTTGTGGTGTTAGGGTTTTTGTTATTAGTTTTTAGCTTTGCTAGTCACTGAGGTGTGACTGGTGAGGCGCGGACCACTGGCCCTCAGTGTGCGGCCTGTCACCCTATTCTCTCACAGGACAGCTGACGGAGGCGGCTTGGTGGAGAAGCACTACGTCTTCCTCAAGAGACTCTGCCAGGTGCTCTGTGCACTGGGCAGCCAGCTGTGTGCGCTGCTGGTGAGCAAGGGCCATGTGAGGGGAACATTCAGAATGCTGGTTACCCAGGACACCAGTTTCATGGAAGACCAAGACCTGGGGTGGGGGTGGGGGTAGCTTTTAAATGTTTTTTTTGTTTGTTTGTTTTACTTCTTGTTTATTTTGTTGTACTAGGGATCAACCTCCATACCTACATTCCCAGCCCTTTTTACTTTTTCTATTTTGAGATAAGATCTCCTTAAGTTGCCTAGGCTGGAGTCAAATTAAGTGATCCAGTTAGCGACCCCTTGCTGGTTGGAGTCCCTGCCTCCGAGAACCCCTTTAAGGACAAGAAGCCGTGCATTATTCTATAGCTCTTCTCTCTCCCTCTCCCTCCCTCCCTGTCTGTCTGTCTGTCTGTCTCTCTCTCTCTCTCTCTCTTTCTCTCTCTCTCTCTCTTTTGAGACAGTGTCTTGCTGTGTAGTTTAGGCTGGCCCTGAACTCAATATGGAGTCCAGGTAGTCCTCTTGCCTCAGCCTCCCAAGTGCTGAAATTACAGGCACATGCTACCACGCTTGGCTGGCTTTCTTAATTTTTGACCCTTGAAATAGAGTCTTTCTGTAGCCAAAAGGAAATATGAAATCCTTTCAAAACAAACCTTTTTTATGGTACCAAGGTTCAAGCCTAGGACCTCACTGCATGCTCACAAGTGCTCTCACATTGAACCACACCCCTAGCCTGTGACTTTTATGAGGGTTTAAATTCTCTGTATTTATTGCTCTTCTGCTGCTCCCCTCCCCCACACCCCTCCTAGTTCTCATGATTAACCTGGGGTCTTTTTTCTCCTGTAGGGCGGAGACTCTGATGTAGAAACACCAGTGAATTTTGGGAAATACCTGGAATCTTTTCTTGCTTTCACAACCCACCCAAGTCAGGTAAAAGCTTATGCAGTCAACACCTCAATTTTTAGTTAGGTAAACCATGATCCAGGGCTATGCCATGAAATATTAACGGTTCCTGTATACCGTGTGACCCTTCAGAACCAGCGCATGGCTGTAGGAGACATTCTTTGTGTGTGTGTGTGTGTGTGTGTGTGTGTGTGTGTGTGTGTGGTACTGGGGATCGAACTCAGGTCCTTGCGCTTGCAAGGCAGGCCACTGAACCGCTGAGCTAAATCCCCGGCCCTAGGAGACATTTCTTTAAGAGGAGTATTGGGTCCTCTCCTGGAGCTAGGGCACTGCTCTGTCAGCTCAGCGGCCTACCCACCCTCACCCTCCTTGAGACCCATGTAATGTTCCAGAGATGTTGGAGCATCACGGGATTGGTACTAAAGAGATGTTAAATGCAAAAGTTTGATGGTTTTTATAAAATTAGTTTCATCCAACTCAAAATTTATATTTTATCACCCTGAGATTCCAATACCGTCTATGACAAAGAGAAGAAAGTGGTAGAGTTCAGGCCACATGCTCTGGCAACCACATCCAACCCTCAGCCTGTCCTGGACACACACTCCTGTAACATGTGCAGTTGTTACTGGGTACTTGCTAGGGAGGTAATTTCCAAGTATCGTCATATCTAAGACGATATAGTTAATAGGCTGAGTGAAGACCTAGCTAAGTATAATTCAAATTAAATGGAGATTTTTATATATTCCTTGTTTAGTTTCTGCGTTCTTCAACTCAGATGACTTGGGGAGCCCTCTTCAGGCATGAAGTCCTATCTCGGGATCCTGTGCTATTAGCAATCTTACCGAAATATCTTCGTGCTTCTATGACCAACTTGGTCAAGGTATAAGAGAGCCTCAACATGTGGAGTGGGGGTGAATGGACATAAGAGGGCTTTGAATGGCATCACTGACAGTCACTAAGACCCCTATTTTGGGCATATTCCCTTATTCTTCAGGAAAAAGGTGATCCATACTGGTTGTTATAACTGCTTTTCCATACTGCAGAGCCCTTGAGCGTTGAATATCGGGCTGGGAGCTAGGACAAGAGCATTGGCATACAGGTTGATGTAAATGCTGTTCAAGAGTTAAAAGCACTGTGCTTTGCAGGCACAGAGGAGTGCAGAGTCAGGAAGTGCCTAGGACAAGGGTGGCAAACGTAGGATACTTGTGCCACAACCAGCTGTTTGCATAATTGAAAGCTCTAAAAGATTTGCCATCACTGGCCTTGGAGGAGGATGTCTGACATCTAAGGGTTGTTTCTGAAGGTCAAGTCTGACTCGGCCAGACATATGAGCAGGGACTGAGAGTGAAGGCAAAGATTGCTTACTGCCTTGGTAGAGCTGCTCTTGAATTCTCTGTGATCTGCTAAGAGCTCTTGCAGTTGACAGGTTTCTTTACCTTTGTAAATCATGAGATTGAGACCCACTCATGTGTTCCTTTGGTGCTCAGGAAATTCACCTGGCACATGCACATACTATGTTCTAATTCTCTGTCATAACTGGAATGGTGGCACACACCTGCAATCCCAGGAGTTGGGAGGCTGAAGCGGAGGATCTCCTTGCATTCAAGGCCAGACTGAGATGCATCATGAGACCTGTCTCAAAAGAAAACAAAAAATAAAAATAAGTAATTCTCTGGCATGGCCTTCAATACTTTTTGAACGAAGCATACATAGTTCTACATATTCCAAGTATTTAGCATTTAACAAGGCAAGTAGTTCTCAACTCTTTCTTCTTTATTGCATGCCATACTCGTAGATCCCAATGAATTCCAGAATTTAATTCTCTCTGAGTAAACTAGAAACTAGAAAAGGTGTCAACTTTTCTGCCACTCTCAGAAATATTGGAACCAGGAGCAAACTGGATCTGGGGTAGAACAGAAATACTGTACTTACTGTAACATGTCAACATGTCTCACCCTTGGTTCTGAAATAAAGTGCTTGATCCCCCAAAGCTTAAGCACTTGCTTTATTTCTACCCTAACTGCTTTTCTCTTTCTAGATGGGTTTTCCTTCTAAGACAGACAGTCCGAGCTGTGAATATTCCCGATATGATTTTGATAGTGATGAGGACTTCAACGCTTTCTTCAACTGTAAGTGACACTGGCCTGGGCTTCCTCCAGCACTCAGAGTGGCATTTGGTGTTTATGAATTCTGGTTGGTGACATTTGGGTCCCTATTAAGGAGCCCCAAGTCTGGACAGCAGCCACTCAAGCTGTTGTGTCTGTTCAAGCTCTGCAGAAAGGCACTAGGACTGCATCACCCAACACTAAATTCCCATTCCCACCCCACAGACAGGCCTTGCACATCGATGTTTGGGCAGAGTGTTCATATTTAAGACACTTAGGATTGAATACCGTATTACTTAGTGGTTCTTTCTTCCCAGAAAGAGTGAGAAAGCCTATTGTAGCCTAGTACCTAACTGTTCTAGGTTTCCTATAGCCTGCTTTTCTTTGCTTTTTAAGATTCCTTTATTGGGGTAAGATTCATTTGCCATATATAATTCCTCCAGGTATAGTATACAGTCCAGTGGCTTTTAGATTTTCAGAGTCGTGTGACCATCTTGACTAACTGGAGAACATTTTCATTACCCTCTAAAATGTATCCACTAGGAATCACACCCCAGTCTCTTCATTTCTCCCAGCCCTGGGCAACCAGGGATTTTATTATCTGCCTTTATGTTTTCCTATTCTGAATATGTCATGTAAATTGGAATCATAAAATATATGGCCTTTCATGGTTACCTTTCATTTAGCATTATGTTTTTAAAATTCATCCATGTTGTAGCGTGGATTGGTATTTCATTTCTTTTTAACCCTAATACTTTATTGTGTAACGATACCCCATTTTATTCAGCCCTTTGTTAGTTGATGGAGGGCCAGGGATTTAGCTCAGTGGTTCCACCACCTGCTTCACAAGCGCAAGGTACCAGGTTCAATCCCTGGTACCAAAAACAAAACAAGTAGTCGATGGATATTCAAACTCTTTTCTACCCTTTAGCTCTAACAGATAATGTTCCTGTGACCATTTGTGCACATATTTTTGTGTTTCTGACAGGTATATAACTATGGGTTAAACTGCTAGATAATATGACAGTTCCATGTTTAATATTTTGAGGGACTACCAGACTCTTTTTCCTGGCAGCTGTACCATTCTACATTCTTTCCAACCTGATCCATCCTGATTTCTCTTGAATTCCAACAGAGGTGCAAGGCCAGTTTCATTTGCTACTTACAGAATCTGGCTGGTTGCCAGAAATTTGGCTCGGTGGTTTCACTGTCTGCCTCTCAAGTGCAAGGGCCTGAGTTTGATCCCTGGTACCAAACAAACAAACAGAATCTGCCTGGTAAAACACATTCTGGAAATAGATTATTTTGAACATTTTCTGGATTCTTTAACTCAGTAAAACACTACGGAACAACCGTTAGATTCAGAACAGGAGTCTGCAGAACAGGTTGACGGATCACTTCCCTTGGAGTGCGTAAATGACCAGGCATCCACTCGGCACCACCGTACACATTGTGTCGTGTCCTTCCTGTGCAGCCTCCCGAGCCCAGCAAGGAGAAGTGATGAGGATGGCGTGTCGTTTGGATACCAAGACCAGCTTCCAGATGGCCGGCGAATGGCTGAAGTATCAGCTGTCAAGCCCTGTGGATGCTGGAGCTGTGAATTGTAAGTTTTCATTGCTGTACATTAGTGCAATAGTGTACCAAACCTGTACATAGGCAACATGGAGATGGAGAAACATCTTAATAGCTTTTCTTACTGCCTAATTCCATCCTAGAGAGTGAGTGTTTAAATTTGCTCACACAGAGGAAACAGAGAACACTACATTTTAAATATGTTTAAATCAGGGTAAAACCTATCAGCTTTGCTTTCATTTTTCTTTCCTAACAGAATCAACCAGTTGTTTGTTGTTAATTTTATTGCTTCACTTCAGGGGCCCTATCTCAATAAGTTGTATGTCTAGACTTGGGTTTTGGAAACTTTTCAGCCGAGTGCATGCATAACATTGTTAGTAAATTCACACACAGTTTCCCATTAGGAACAGCACAGGGCTTTCCCATGTCATTCAGTCCCCCATTCTACATAAAATTAAAGACCCTTTGGAAAGCTCCATTCTATATAAAATTAAAATAATCTCCCTCTACCCAAATGCATTAGCCTGTTAACGTATCTATATTCCATATCGTCTGCCTCCTGTCTCACTAATGCGTGTTGCACATGGCAGGATTAGGAAAGCGGAAAAGGATGAATTAAGTCATGCGAGTCACTGTTTAGAAAAGCTCTGTAGCAGCTGCAGTCATTTCCAAGTACACTGATTACTTGACCTTTATGAAATTTAGCTGTTGGGTTTATAATCAGCGCTGATGTTGATAGACCTAGTTATGTTGCATCACGATGCAGCTAACAAATGGCGTACTACATGGGAGCAAGAAGGTAGTGGATAAATATGTCTGTCTGGCTGTTTGAGCAAGGTGCTTTGGTGTTTGTGAATTTGGAAGAGGACATAGCCTTTATAGTCGTTATGAAGCTATTGGATGTGAAGCTGCATTTCATAGCATATATCTTTTCCTTTGTGGGACAATTTTTTTTTTTTTTTTTTGGTACCAGGGAGCGAACTTGGGTCCTTGCACTTGCAAGGCAGGTGCCAGAACCACTGAGCTAAATCCATAGCCCCTGTGGGACAATTCTTCATGGGCTCAAATAGTTTAATTATTTAGATTCTCATGGACAGCTTGTAAAGTGGGGGAAAAGTTAATATCAAGTACCTCTAGTTGACCAGACACTATTTTTGATGCTTACACATATATCCCCAACAGACAAGGCTCCCGAAGTGAATTCAGACAGCTCTTCTTTAGGAGATGGAAATAGGGCAGGAACCATTCTCTGCCTTCAGACATGTCATACTTAGACTAGTAGATAAATGCAAGCCAATCCATCTAAGGCTTGTTTTGTTTATGGTATTGGGGATTGAACCCAAGGCCTGTATCTCTAGCCTTTCTTTCTTTTTTTTCTTTTTTTTTTTTTTT